AGCAGGACTTTGGATATCATGTTCAGATAAGGCACCAGGAAGGCTTGGATCTTCTCCAGTCTTCTGTTGAGAGAATAATAATAAAGACATCACCCTCAGCTGACAAATGAAACATGGAACAGATTGCTGTCAGCATAAGAGGCTGCTCCTCTGACAGGTACAGGACTAGATTGATCTCACAGAGACACAAGATTTCTGGTTAGTAGAAACACTTAAGTCATACTTTTCAGGAGAACAGTGACATGAGAAATCACATTATCACATAACTAATAGGGGTGATAGGTTAGGTGTCTCCTGAGCTTAAGGACTTCACCTTGTACTCCAAAAGGCAGCTGAAGTAGACTGATAGCTGTATCCCACTGGGCTCTAAAGAGCTTGTATTGAGACAAGTAGGAAATTGCCTCTTTTCCACAATCAGTCTGTGTCAGAGGGAGATTTTCCTGCTTCTAGTTCAGATATCACAAACAGGGAGAAACAGGCTGCTCTGAAAAGCTTCTAAATGTTTGTGTGATAAGATGGAGGAATCCCAGTTCACTTCATAAAGACATGGAGTGGTCAAGACAAGAAAGCTCTCCTAGTCTACAGGCTTTAGCTACCAAAAAGTCTGGGTAAAGGAGGTGAAAAAAGTTCTGGAAAACAAGAGCAGGACTCTTGAATGACTCTATTAAATAGCTTACTTAGGCTTTGAAGAGCAGAGAGAGAGCTTGGATATCACTATTGAACACACTAATAGCAAGTACCCTTTTGAGCCACCTGCATGTCCCATGACGCAAGAGTGACTTATTGTTTGACGCTACATTCAATTCCTACCTGCCATTTTACCTTCCCCACTGAAATGAAATGAAAAATATCTCCCAATGTCTGTGCTGGTTTTTGTGACTTCTTCCGAAGCCACCTCCAGTCATTCAGTTCTGGCAACCTACTACTCTATCCAGGGAGAAGGAAGAGAAAATTCAAGCTCTTTTATTCTAGACATGAAGACTGATGAAGCACGTGCTTCCTGTGCAGAAACTGCTGGACAAGAAAGTTCAAGCATGAGAAGTTCGTACACAGCCATAGCAGATTGCACAAGTGCTCTAAGTTTGGCAGGTGGAAGTCTCTGAAATGCAGTGGGAAAGCACTGCTAAACTTGGAATGAAAGTTGCAAATAAATCCACTACAGAACCTGCATTCAGCATGCCCAATTGTTGAGTTATTAATGAAAGAGGAAGAAAGGAAATGGAGTAAGGGTAATATACGAAGAGACTGAGGTTTCCATTGGTGTCTATTATCTAAGGAAATCACTGACCACATAAGAGAAAATCAAAAAATTTCAATTTAGTTACTTGCCCAGCAGCAAAATCAAAGGCAGGTGCTGGATATAACAGACAATACTGGTCAAACTGTTTCTTTCTGCACAACACTTGGTAAACAGAGTTGCCACTATTGAGTTCTAACCTCTTGTCATGCAGCAACATTGAGTCAACAATCCGCTCTCATGGCTTAATGCTTTTGATGTTTACTTTGTTCTTTCTATAGTTCAAAAGAAAGCACTAATGCACCAGTCCTCTTACCAAATACAATCTTAATCCCAGAATCCTGAGCCTTTTGCTGTTGGCCAGTTAAGTCTGTTAAGACGAAAGGATTTGATCAAGCTTTACATAACAACACAGAAGTTAAATCCAGCAAAGAGAGTTCTTTTTATCTGTACTGCTCAGACGGCTAAGGGGGAAAAAAGAGGGAGAAAAAAAAAAGGTAATGAACTTGGCTATGTAAAACAAAATAAGGAATTCAATTATTTCTCTTATTGCCACTTTGTCTTTTCAGTGAGAGTCTTCTAAAGAACTCAGATTTATTCTCCAATAAAGTCTCTGATTGTGAAGGCTGTAACTTTCCCCTAACACAGAAGAACTGTGGCACCTGCTGTGCTTTTTTGCAAATTTCTGAGAAATGTTTCTTTTTAATTTTTTCCATCCCTACCGTGTATTTATAAAGATAGAATATAGTTCATTGATTAGACACTTGCTTGGTACTTGCTAGAGCTGAGTTCAAGTCTTCGTTTTGCCATTCATGTCCTTTGTGAGCTTAGCCCAACCAACCATGTTTCAGTGTGCTGCAGCTCCCTATATCTGAAACCAGTTATCAGTGATGTTATCTTATCATACATGAATCATGTGTTACACCAGTACATATGTGAAGATTGTGAGGTAGCAAAATAAAAGCAGAACAACTATTTTAGATGAAAAGATTAATATACTTTCTAGAATATTAATCACATTTTCACACAAAACATTTCTATGCAGAAAAGAGCTATGACAGTGGTCATCCTGTACCTAAGCCACACAGAATTCAAGCTGTGCCCTAACAGAAGTCTCAAATCATGTTTCAGCTTCACTTTCTGCTAATAGCACAATTTTACACTAGTACTATCACAATCATCCAAAAATATGCCAGTAAAATGTACGAAGTTATAAAAAAAGGGTGAAAGCATCCTGCTTAAACACAGTGCTTCTAGTATCACCTTTCAATTATAAGAAGATTTTAAATATCCCGTTCAAGAGGTAAATGGCTAACACCGTCCCCAGCATGGAAAGCTAGCCTGGAGATCTGAGAGCAGAAGGGATGAGGACCAAGCCTTGGCAATCCTCACGTGTTTTCCTGAGCACCAGGTGGGAACAGTTACCTGCCTCCTAACTGGAAAGATGCCACAGAACAGTTCTTCCCCAGCGGCAGCACACAAGGAAAGGACCACCTACTGGTATCTAAATCTTGTCTTCACTACTCAGCTACTTCATAAGAAACGAGATGCATCAGAAGTAATAACGTAAAACTGCTGAAAGACTGAAATTACAGTAGCCTAAAAGGTTTTACGCTCTAATAAAAACAATCCTGCTGCTGACTATTTTGGAAATAGTATATATTGGGTATTATGCTTGCTATGCAAGACAATTCTACGCAGCAAAGTAAGAAATAGAGGAAAGGAAAGGTAGAATGAGACACAGAAAAATGAAATTATTCACCTCAGTGACATTTAATATCCTGTATTAAGTAGATTCTCCTGTAATGTGAAAATTAAAAAGCCACCCTTTATTAGAGTTATGTCCTAATATGAGCAGCAAACTGTGTTGAAGCAAAATATTGAAACACTTTTAACAAACACTGACTCCATCATGGCAAGTATATCTTGCTTTTGTGTTTAACAGTAGTCTACAAGCACCAGCTGAAATTGAGCTCCTACATTACAGGCACATACGAGGGAACATTCTTTGTAAAGTAAAGACATGACAGAAACATGGGATCCAAGAAACACAGTATATTAAAATGTTTCACAGGTAAGGAACTGGAAGACATAGAGAACCTTTCAAGTTCTGTTTAGACAGAAGTCTCTACCACCAGAAACAAATGGCTGGATTATAAAAAGGGACAGAACTTTCCAACTTAAGCTTGACACGGTTCATTGCTCTAAATAAGTTGGTCATATTGTTTCCACCAGCCTATAATATAAATCGAGCACACAGCCCGTGCAACCATTTGTTATGCTAGAGTTTCCCAGAGTTTCTGAAGTCTCATTTCCTTGTTTTTTTAAAAGAATGAGGAACGATGTCCTCAAATTAATCTCTTCTGTTCATCAACCCCTACTTGCCTAACTGAAATTCAAAGTACCTCAGATATGCTCTCTGGCACACAGAATACAGTGTCCATACTCAAGGTTCCCAAAGGCCCTTCCCACCACAATGATTCCATCTCCACTGCAAGGAGAGGCCTGATCACAGATGAAGAGATGAGATGAGCCTTGGAAAGAAGAAGTTAACTGAGGCAATAACGATTCCATTCACATTCAAGAGAAATGTGTTGAGTAAGAGTCTCTGGTTTTTCTTAGAAATTAACGTAGGAGTTTCTAAGTCTGCTTTGTGTAACGCAGCAGGGCGTGCAGTGTATCACAAAACCCAGTGCTAGCATTTTCAGTGATTGCATTTAACACTTCTGCTGGGGACATTGATACTCACTACTGCTACCAATGCCAAGAGAACTAGCTGGAAAAAAATTGTGAGACCTTGAATTAAAACACTTGATCCCTATGATACAACTGGGTGACTTTTTTTGATACTAGGAGGACAGTGGTAGGAGATACAGAAATAATACCCTATTCTCAACTTAATAGTTTTGCCAGGCAAACACCACATCAGTGTATCAAGAATTGCACTCTCATATATGCATTCTCACTTGTTCGCTGACTTACTCCAATATCCCTTAACATTAACCAAGAAGTTTTGTTCTTTAAATACCTTCTAGATGAAAGTGTTCATCACCAATAGCGTCTCTGTAGCCTTCCCCAGATAAATCCTGTTAAAAAAAAAAATAAAATTAGTGACAATTATACTATATATAAAGTCTTGAAGTGTTAAGAATATGTATTTATTATCACCAGGATTAATTTAAAACACTAACGAGAGCACAGAAGTCATTTTCCGGAAAAGAAGTCAATCAGTTTATTAGTGGTAGTCAATGCATTTGGTGCTACTTTACAATGCTCTGGACATACTTTAGGACCAAAATTTAATGGAGATGAATACATTGTACCAGGGGAAAGAAAAAAGAAGTGTTCATATTCAAATCCTTTTACGAAGTAGGTTAATATTTAGCATTTCAACATTCTGTCAATCAAGCAAGATAGAAAAAACTCCAAATGGAAACAATAAAAGAGAAATAAGCCCTTCACTACCCAGAGGAATGTTATCACTTGGTTCCACCAACAAACAGAAAACTTTCATATGCCAGAGGTCGCCCAAGAAAAGCAGATACCAGACTCTGAAGAGTTGCCTGATCTTTCAGTCCCAAAATTAATCAAATTTTGTCAGCCCCAGTAATTCTAGAGTAATACAGAAGCAGATGCCATAGATATGCAGATGATCTTATATCAGACCGAAAACCCAATTCTCTAATGGTGCTGAAGTAGTAATAAAGGGCATCAGTGGGATTTGTAGCTCCAAATCCCACTTACAAAGACCCTGAAGAGCACTCTTATGCTTTTACTAGTGGACCCTTCCAGCTCCATCCCCCCCACGCCAGCTAAACCATAAGCAATGACAGCTATCCTTCTCCCATTCATTCTGAAGGCTCTAGCATCACACTAATGTCACTGATCTATCACGTTATAGTCTGGCTCCCTAGATTCTCCACAATCAATCTCTGCCACTGATAAATAGTTATGGTGATAAAGCAGGACATGGTCCTAAAAAGCTGGTGTGCTACACTCAAGGCCATTTTAATTTCACCTGCAAAAACATACGAGGAACACAGAGCCAGCATTCTCAGTATCAACCTGTGAACTGGAAGTCGACAGTACAGAGCTTTTTGCACAAGGTAGGAAAAAAGGGATAACCTGTGAAAATTAATGTCTAGTTGTATTCATTAGCTTTACTGTTAAGTAATTTTATCACGATGAAAGCAGTTCACCTTTCTTCTTTAAAAAGCTGACAAAGGTTCTTTTCTGCCTTCCACATGCCCAAATGTTATTCTTTGAGATTAGTTACCAGAAAGTAACTAAGCCACAAAAGTATATCTGAGGAATTCATCAGTATCATTTTCTGCAGCAGCATTTTAAAAATTAGATTTCACAAACATTACTGGATAGCTAGCCCAGAGACCCAGAAAATATCGGTCTGTTCATGAGCAGATACCCTGAAACAAAGTTAGAACTCCCAGGCCAAATGGCTCGGAGAAATGCTGGCAACTTAGCCCGGAATGCTAGGATTCTGCACAGCACAGTGTTGCTACAAAAGCTGTCATTCTGGATTTAGCTTTCCAAGAAGCAAATCACAAAAACTATTTTGTTTCCTTGAGTGTTTGTTCCAGAAAAAGGTCTCTTTTTTTGAGCATGTGCTGATTAATATCAATCATTACCTTAAAAATTATGGAAGAAATAGACAATGAATGAAAAGAAGCCATTAAATGTTGGAATAACTTATCATATTTCTGCAAGAATATGGTCTTTCCAGGGCCTTGTAAAAGTTAGTATAACTTTATCTGATCAAATTCCCCCGTGTCATCATTTTCCATGAAACTCTGAGAGCACACCTCTGACTGCTCTCATAGATAATGAGATACATAGAAGTGACTAGATAGGCATATGTGGCACCTCTGCTCTCTCCCACAATGCTAAATATTTAATAACTGTTTTGTTTGTGGATTTGTTTGTTGGGTGGTTTTTTTTTAACTAAACTCAGAATTCCTGCTCCCTCCCGCTCTCTTAGGAAAAAAAAAATATTTTCTGTTAACCTGATCGGCAAATATGCAATTGAGTAGGTATGAGCTTACTTGTGATGTACCTCTGAGGAGAACACTAGCTGGTAACCTTCATCTCTTAAAATTTTAGCAAAGCAAGCAGCACATCTGGGTATCAAACGTTGTCTGTGAAATGATGTCATTGATCTCATAAGTCATTAATTTTTATAATTTTTCAAAAGAAGTCACTTAAAAATGCACATACATTTGTTGATGTAAAATGCACTATCAAGTAACTTGATGGAAAAGAGTGGAAGACAGAAGTGTAAAACAGTAGAGTGAAGCATTTATATTCATTAAGCCAGCTTCCTTATTTTCTCATTTTTAATCATTACACAAGTATTAAGTAAATATGCTTTATATTCTGGTCTAGTTTCACTCCTTCTATAGCTCCTAGTTATTTAAGTTAAAGTAGTAACTTAATGCAAACAAATCTCCAGTGTTTCTGCCTTAAACCAAATTATTATAAATTACCAAATTCTAGAAAAGTGTTTGTATGATGTTGAACCATAATATTACTGTTAAATGCCACATAAATTGACAACCCATCCTGAAACTGATGAGAGTATCATTTGAACATTTTAGCTATACATTTAAGCAGAATTCCTCAGCTCCCATTCAAATGTGTTCCTCTGTGTGTGTAAGATTATGACATGTATTATCTTTGATAGACAGATGCGTATCTGTGAAAGGTGTGGGCAACTCTAAGATTTTACAGGGAAAAAATGAAGGGCAAAAAAGACATGTATCATTCTTCTTATTATCATTAACTCTTCTGTCAATAAAACTGCAAGAGAGTTACCTGAATATTTTTAGCACCACTGAGACAGATGTCACAACCTGGATAAATACCACAACGCACCTGCTCCAGAAGAGGCTTCTGGACAGTGTATATAAACTCACACTCAACAGAAAAGTACAAAAGCTGAGCAAACACCAGAGAAAACAATTCTGACTGCAGCTCGTACTGCATAACAGAGTATTCTCCCAGCAACCTGCACAAAGTGTGTTAGTGTAAATAAGATAGGGCATCTACTCCCAGCTACCCAAATTCAGAAAGCGGACTAGAGCACAAGAAAAGGGTAAATGCGTAACACGTAACTTGCAGCTCAAGAAATTCTAGTGGGAAGCGAATGCTATAGCTGGGTAGGAATATTTGACACTGGGGAGAAGCATGTTCAAGCACAAAAGAAACACTGGCTCGAGGGGGTGAAAAAGCCAGCAGTGGCTCTGCCTTTTGGCCAGGCTCTGCAGCGTGGGCCTCGCCGCGCAGCTGCAGGAGCCCGGCCCGCAGCAGGAGCGGTGCCTGAGAGCAAAAGCAACAACATTTAGGTCATAGGTAGTTGTATATCACTGTCCTGACACGATGTTTTAAATCGCAACTCTGCGTTTTTGAACTGGAACACTGAGTCATGAAACAACCAAAACCAGATGTACCCTGTGAAATACTATATAAATGAGGTCAGTGAGCACTTGAAAGAATAAAGAAAAGAAACATTTACGTAGAAGGATTATTCCAGCCTGCCATTGCTATAGGTTGCTAAACAGGAACCCATCTAGAGTAAGTGTCTCTACCTCACCGGGAGCTTCCCAGATGAAAAGGTTGGCCTCCGTTAGCTACCAACACAAATCACACAAAATGACTGAGATTCAGGCTCAAACATCTGCTTCAAAACTCCAAACAGCTGGCTGCCTGGCCTGGGTAGAAAGGACCTTGTGTCCCATATATCCTATTCTGATAGGTGCTGCTGTACTCAGCTCAGATTTAAGAGGGTGGGGGTGGAGAGAAGAGTTAATTAGTGCTGCTCCCTTAGAAATGCTGCTGAGTATATACATACATGAGGAAGAAAAACAATCTTTAAAAGCTCCCACACCCCAGGGCTTCTATTCAGCTGGTTACAAGTCAGGCAATCGTCACTCGCTTCCCACCTCTGCCGTGCAATCAGACTCCGATGAATTCTAACTCGCTGAGAATTTTATTTTTTTAACCCCAACCTCAGCCCTAACCATCCTGTGCAGTTTTCATAATGATACAAGTCTCTGGAGACTAAAGGCCAGGCACTCACTCTGGGGCTTCCAGCTATTGACTTCCTTTTCACCAGCTATCTGAAACCACTGCCATCCAGATTCTCACCCGTCGTTCTGCCTACATCGCTTTATTCCTCCGATGCCTTTGCTGACTCCCTTTCTGCTTCTACACTGAGGTGAAGCTCCTTGTCTTCACCTTCCAGGCTCTACACAGTTGTATGTGCCTTCACATGTCCCACCCTTACCTCCTCGCCCCTACACCCACCGATCCCTTTAACCTTGGTCATCAGTATGACTCTTTCTACCTGTTCTGGCTCTGCCTTTTCATGCCGCCCTCCATGACACCCAGCAGCCAGCACAAAAGAGCCAAAGCTACAGAATGCAAACAGAGTGTGTATTTTCGGAGTCCACGTTTAGACTAACATGGTGTGAAATACAGTTTTGCTTTTGGTGTAATTAGAAACAGCTACATCCATGGATGTATTCGATATATGAAAAGATAACCTTTGATTTAGGTAGGTTATCATGATGACAAGCACATTTCTAAAGTTTGGACCCCCCTACTCCCTGTATTACATCACATATTGTGTTCATTAACATTTTTCTAAAAGGTGTTGCTCTTCTCAAGTAGAAACAAGTTGCTTCACCTCTCCTCCTTCAAATATCTCATTAAAATCCTCTGATTTAGCCTTAAGATACTCAATTTTCCACATTTTTGGCAGAAAATATGCACACATTTCTTGTTTTGCTGCAGTTCTTATCGAGGTATCATATCCACTTTCCCCAAGTAAAACACATGCAAACTGACAAATTGTCAACCAAGAAAACTTTCCTCCCTATTTTTAAACCATCTGACTGAAACATGTATTTTTTTCTCTCTTTATTCTCATATTGATGCAATAAAGTTCCAAGACTTTTGAAAAGAGCAAAGTTGAAGAAACGTGTTTCACAACAGGACTGCAGGGGATATGTGGTAACTCTAACATCTCGTGGAGTAGATTTTATTATGGTTTTAAAGTAGCTGCCAACAA